CATAGTCCCAGTTACTGAGGTGGAAGGATCACCTGAGCCCAGGAGGTCAAGGCTGCAGTGAGTCGAGACTGTACCCCTACTCAGCCTGGGCTACAGAGTGAGACTTGGTCTCCCCAAAAAAATAGAAGAGCAAAAAAGAAAGCCAGCTGGGCACGGTAGCTCACACCTGTAATCCCACATTTTGGAGGCTGAGTCAGTTGGATCACTTGAAATACGGAGTTCGAGACCCAGCCTGACACACATGGAGAAACCCTGTCTCTATTGAAAATACTGAGCCAGGTATGGTGGCACATGCCTGTAATTCCAGCTATTCTGCAGACTGAGGCAAGAGGATGGCTTGAATCCGAGAAAAAGGTTGCAGTCAGCAGCGATTGTGCCGTTGCACTCCAGCCTAGGAAACAAGAGTGAACTTCATCTGAAAAAGAAGAAAGAAAGCGACAAAGAGAAAGCTAATAAACTAAGATAAGAAAATAACTTAAATGTAACAAAATTTATGAGGTCTTTCATTTATTAAAATATCAAACAAATAACTTGTGATTGTACCCTGTGCCAGCAAAGGTGCAGTGAAATGGGCATTTTCTCTTACTATTAGTGATGTTAAATTGTATACAAGCCTTCCACCAGGGTAAAGCTTGGAAATTTTTAAAAAGATACAGTGACTCACTCTACTGCCTCCTCCAACTCGGGCCTCAAGCAATCCTCCCACCTCAGCCTCCCAAGTGTTGGAATTATAGGCCGACAGCCACCATGCCTGAAAGCTCGGCAGTTTACATCAAGTGTAACAAGAATGCCAATGTCCTGTGACTCACAGTAATCTCCTTTCTGGAAATATCATCTTCGGATACAATTCAACCTAAGCAGAAGGTCATATGCACAAACACGGTGAAAATCTAGGAGTAATATTTTTTCTGTTTCAAAAACATACGGAACACTTCACAAATTTGCACGTCATTCTTGCACAGAGGCCATGCCAATCTCTCTTGTTCCAACTTTAGTATATGCGCTACTGAAGCAAGCATGAGTAACTTAAGAAGAGCGTTAAGCAAAAATAAGGAAGAGTTATGGGGGAACTTAGAAATCTATGTATTTATAGGCACCTAGTAACAGCTCAGTAAATATTAGCTGCTACTTTATTATCTTTATGGTAATTCCACTCAATTTAAAAATTGTCATTTAAAATTTACCACTGTCATGGAAATCACTGTATTTAAAAGTGTAATTGTAAAACAGATAGAGGCTGGGTGTGGTGGCTCACACTTACAATCCCAGCAGTTTGGGAGGCCAAGGCAGGTGGATCACCTGAGGTCAGGGGTTCAAGACTAGCCTGACCAACATCGAGAAACCCCATCTCTACTAAAAATACAAATTAGTCAGGTGCGGTGGTGCCTGTAATCCCACCTACTCAGGAAGCCGAGGCAGGTGAATCACTTGAACCTGGGAGGTGGAGGTTGTGGTGAGCTGAGAGTGCACCATTGCTCTCCAGCCTGGGAGCAAAAGAGCAAAACTCCATCTCGGAAAAAAAAAAAAAAATCCCAGCACAGAGACTCACAGCTGTAATCCAGCACTTTGGGAGGTTGAGGCCAGCAGATCACCTGCAGGTCAGGAGTTCAAGACCAGTCTGGCCAACATGGTGAAACCCTATCTCTACGAAAATACAAAATTAGCTGGGCATGATGGCAGGTTACCTGTAATCTTAGCCCACTCTTAACCCTGGGAGGCGAGGTTGCAGTGAGCTGAGATTGTGCCATTGCACTCCAGCCTAGGCAACAGAGCAAGACTGTCTCAAAAACAAAACAAAACAAAACAAAACATACCATTTGTCCTTGGTATATGGGGGATTGGTTCCAACTCCCAATATCTGTGAATACCAAAATCCATGCAAGCATCTGTAGTCCCAGCTACTTGTGAGGCTGAGGAAGGAGTGCTTTAGCCCAGGAGGTTGAGGCTGCACTGAGCCATAATTTTGCACCACTGCAATCCAGTCTGGGCAACAGAGTGAGAAACAAGGTTGACTTTTAAATATAATTTTTCGGTTCACTTGAGAATTTGGTCAGAACTGTGGCATATGAAAATTCTTCATAGAATAATTATCTAATCAAATTCATGCTAGAATTGGGAACAGAAAATGTTTTGTTGACTCTTTATTCCTTCACTTGCTGTTACATAAACTATGGCCAGTGGGCACTTACCAACCAGAAGTGTTATCTCAGAGCTACTCACAATGAAAGCTGATGTCTAGGGCCCAGGTGTGTTGAGGTCTCCATGCCTTGGCTATGGGTGAGTAGGACTTATAGGTCAATCCATTTTCTATATTCCAGCTCTGGAAAACTTGGGTTATCCATCTTGATAAGATATATTTAAATTTAACTTGGCAAGAAACACAAATGGAAGAAAGGTTATGAAACCACAGGATGGTACTTGTTCTCAAGGGACTCTTCAGCTTAGGTGCTTCTGTACAAAAGGAATGACATTGTCGAAAACTCATCACAGGTCAAGTGAGGTGCCTCATATCCATAATCCCAGCCCACTGGGAGACTAAGACAGGAGGATCCCGTGAGGCCAAGAGTTTAAGACCAGCCTTGGTGACACAGTGAAACCTCATCTCTACAAAAAACATTAGAAAATGAGCTGGGTATGGCAGCACATTCCTATAGTCCTAGCTACCCTAGGAGGCTTAAGTGGGAGGATAGTTGAACCCAGGAAGTGGAAGCTGCTGTGAGCAATGATCTCACCACTACACTCCAGCCTGGGTGACAGAGTGAGACCATGTCTACACACACCCCCCTCAGTCTGTCCAGCCTTGACTAATAAAAAGGGTCTTCCGGTTACAGAACAGGTGTGCTCATTTGTAGGACACGAAGGGACCAGCAAGCGTGTTCACAGCCTTTCCTCATCCTCTGCTTAGTTTTCCAAGAACCTTCAAGGGAGTCCCGAGGGAAAGGACAAATCTTCTGGTTGCCAGAGGAGAAATATGCCTCCTATGTCAATTGATAAGGGAACACCTGCCATGAAAACCAGGAAGTTCTGCTAAGATGAACCACTCCCTACGACACTGACCTATGCAGGAAACATGAGAAACTGGAGTTTGTGGACCAATAATATTGAAGGTCACATTCCAGATTGTGGAGATCTAACCAAAGTACAGCCTTTCCACAAGGCACTGCCAAATAACAGCTGGCTGCCTCCATTGGGGTACTGCCGCCGTATCTCTGGCTCTCATTTCACCGGGAGATGCTCTATTCCAGCTTCCTCTTGCATTTTGTAATCTGTAGTTCCTGGGGTAAGACCTCACAACATAGCAGACTGCTGAGTCCATGCTGATCTACAGATCTGACTTCAGATTCTAGCAGGACTCTTTCAGTTTGAGGAATTAAAGAGGAGAGAAAATGGACCCAGCCTGGCACTGGCCAGCTTAGCAGTCCGAAGATAGAAGCTGCTCAAAATGACTACAGTGCTTCTGACTTTCTTAGTCTGACCTTCCTCCTAGGGCTCTTTGGATGAGATTTATTTCTCCTTGTTGAAGAAATTGTTTGCTAGACTATAAAAAAATTTCAGGAAGAATGAAATATTAAAATATAGTTTTCTCCTAAAGAGCACTCAAAAGTATAATCCCACCAGTGCTGGATCTATTTATCTCTCTCTCTCTCTCTCTCTTTTTTTCTTTTCTGAGATAGGGTCTCACTCTGTTACCAAGACTGGAGCACAGTGGTGAGATCACAGCTCACTGCAGCTTTCAACTCCTGGGCTCAAGTGATCCTCCCACGTCAGCCTCCCAAGTAGCTGGGATTACAGGTGCATGCCACCGTGCCTAATTTTTTAAGTTTTTTTGTAGAGAAGGCCGCTATGTGGCCTAGGCTGGTCTTGAACTCCTAGGTCAAACTAATCCTCCTGCCTTGGCCCCCCAAAGTGCTGGAATTATAGGCTTTAGCCACCCCACCCAACCTATTTATCGTTGTGTATATATATACACACGCATACGTGCGCACACGTGCTCTCACACACACACACACACACACAAATATATACATAAATAAAATCTCATATACTAAATGTTGCTCCTTAAATCGCCTCCAACCCTCCCGTCTGCAGGGAGAGCAAACACAGGTCTCAGCAGATCAGGCAACCTACATGAAGAAAGGAGGCTGGAGTAATGCCAGAGACCAGGAGGAACTGTAGCAAATAGCAAGGTATTCACTTCAAAGGTTTTTCAACATTGTGATGGTCAAACCAAACACAGAAACAGGAAGCCCAGTTCAGTCACCAGCAGCCAACATGAGATATTTGATCTACATGCTACAGAACAAACTGTTTAGGATGAATGACCGTGTCTCCACCACCCCGTTCTTCAAGTCCCTCCTGCCCAGTAGTCCCTACACTCTGCTGACATGACCCACATTCACAGGACTCTCCTGACCCCTTTGCGTGTTTACTCTTTTTTCCCCAATAACTATTTTCTTTTCTGGATACAGAGTTCACCTCTGTCACACAGGCTTGAAGGAAAGTGAGGTGATTATGACTCACTGCAGATTCCATCTCCCGGGCTCAAGTGATCTTGCCTCCCAAGTAGTTGGGATTACAAGCATGTACCACCATACGTAGCTAAGTTTATTATTATGATGATGATGATTTTGAGATGGAGTCTCACTCTATCATCCAGGCTGGAGTGCAGTGGCATGATGTAGGCTTACTGCAACCTCCGCCGCCTGGGTTCAAGTAATTCTCCTGCCTCAGCCTCCTGCGTAGCTGGGATTAGAGTCATGCACCAGTAAGCCCAGCTAATTTTTGTGTTTTAGTAGAAATGGGGTTTCACCATGTTGGCCAGGATAATCCCAATCCCTTGACCTTGTGATCCGCCCACCTTGGCTTCCCAAAGTGCTGGGATTAAAGGCATGAGCTGCTGTGCCTGGCCAACCGTTTTTATTTATAAACTACTGGGCCTCACATGTATGCTTATAACAATGCAAAACAGACGAATATAGCAATCGTATGCCAACACTTACCAGACTGTGGGGGGCACAATGACAGAAGTACCGAGTGGGACTGAAATGCTCCCAAGGGGCTTCTTGTCGCATCATAGAGAATGGGGTGAGACATCTTGGCTGAGGCTAAAGATGAGCGAAGATGAGAGTCAAAGAGTGATGATGAGGGTAGGGGAAGGTTTCCTGAAGAAGGACACCAGTAAAGTCCCCCAAGGAAACTGACATTCCACGTGGCTGGAAGGGAGGGATATGGGGAGGGTGGTGCAGGATAAAACTGGAAAGGTAAGCCGAGGCCAGCTCTTACCAGGCCCTGTGGCCGAATTAGTTTGGATTTTATCTTAAAGGCAATGGGCAGTCACCAGCAGGTTTTAATCAAGTACCATTTTGACCCAAATTTGCCTTTTAGAAAAGTTCCTCTGGCTTCAGTGAACGGGCTGAAGTGAGCAAGCCTGGAAGTCAGGAAGACAATTGGAGGCCTTCCCGATAAACCAGTACCGAAGAAAACAGGGCCAGGCATGGCGGCTGCTGCCTATAATCTCAAAACTTTAGAAGTCTAAGGTGGGTGGATGTCTTGAGCCCAGGAGTTTAAGACCAGCCTGAGCAATGTGGTGAAACCACATCTCTAAAAAACACAAAATATTAGATGGGTGTGGTGGCTCATACCTGTGGTCATACCTCAGCTACCCCAGAGGCTGAGGCAGGAGGACAGCTTAAGCCCGGGAGGTTGAGACTGCAGTGAGCCGAGATCACACCGCCGTGCTCCAGCCTGGGCAACAGAGGGAGACTGTCTCAAAGAGAAAAAGAATCCCATTCTTCACCTATTAGTGCCCCAATGTTCTCATGAGAACCTTGGTGATGCAGTGAATTCAACTGTCATTGTAATTCAGCAATTCACACATTTAAGTTTGTGTTTGATTTTTCATAATACCAACCCTGTGGAAACAAGAAATATGGAATTGTGTTTGGGCTATCATGGAAGCTCTCTGGATCTTAGACCGTGACTTATGCTAAGATGTGAGCTTTGCGTTCTTCTCTCTGTGAGTGCTCAAGAGCAGCAGTCCCCAGGTTTTATGGCACCAGAAACCAATATCATGGAAGACAGTTTTTCCACAGACTGGGGGCAGGGGGTCCGTTTTGGAATACTTCAAGCACATCACATGTATTGTGCACTTTGTAATTATTACACTGTAGTATATAATAATCATATAAGTCGCCATCATGTACAATCAGTGGGAGTCCTGAGCTTGTCTGTTTTCCTGAAACTAGATGGTCCCATCTGGGGGTGATGAAAAATAGTGACAGGTTATCAGGCATTAGATTCTCATAAAGACAGAGCAAGGTAGAACCCTTGCATGCACAGTTACACAATAGGGTTCCTGCTCCTGTGAGAATCTAATGCTGCCACTGACCTGACAGGAGGTGGAGATCAGGCGGCAACGAGGGGAGTGGCCGTAAATACAGATGAAGCTTTGCTCGCCCACCTGCTGCTCACCTCCTGCTGTGTGTCCAAGTACAGGCCTGTGATTCAGGGATTAGGTGCCCCTGCTCCATTGCATCCAAAAGGACCCTCCCCACACCAGTCTTCATCGTGGTCAAGTACAGAAGCCACTTAGCTCCTAAGGCATGTGTCTCAGCTGGCATTTCATCACAATCAACAGTAAGTGGCACCTTGAAACATTATGAGGTCACTTCCTGAAAATCACCAGCATCCCATTTCCCATTGACAAGAAGTTCAACGCTGCCCCTTGGATAACCAAACCTATGCCCAAATCCCATTTTTTGTGGGTCTTTCTCCCAGAACCCTTCCTAGAATCAGTTCTGTATATGTCAGAGTCCAATCAAAAGGCATAAATCACCCAAAGTTTAAAGTGGAAAAATTTTAAATAAAAAAAGCAACTATGTAACCAGAAAACACCATATGAGAGATTGGCTACAAAAGTAAAGAGAACTCTAGAGAACATAGGGCTAGCAGAGGCCAGACATGGTGGCTCATGCTTACAATTGCAGCAATTTGGGAAGCCAAGGCAGGAGGACTGCTTGAGGCCAGCAGTTTGAGACCACCTTGGAAACACAGTGAGACCCTGGCTCTACCAGAAAAAGAAAACAAAGGCCAGGTGTGGTGGCACACACTTGTAGTCCTGGTTACTTGGGAGGCTGAGGTGAAAAAATTGCTTCAGCCCAGGAGGTTAAGGCTGCGGTGAGCCATGATTTCACCACTGCACTTTAGACTGGGCTAGAGAGACCCTGCCTCAAAAAAACAAAGTATAGGGCCAGCTGTTACAATGAGCAGTAACTTCCTACTGTCCCTACTACACTGAGATCGAGTGACCAAGGAAGGGATTCCCCACTCAGGCTGAGATCCAGGCCCCCTTGGAGAGGGCACAGTCGTGGGTAATTCAATGGCAGAAGTGCTGCATTACCACATGGTGGAACATGCTAGCAATATGCCCTCTGCAATTTGCTGAAAATCCACCTTCTAGGGTGCTAGCTTTACCTATTAGTAAACAGTTGTCTCACCACAAAACCACCCAGGCAAATGCAGAGAAACTGCTGGTCACTGCCTGCTGCTAAGCACCATGCAGGGCAGCAGCCTGGTACAGCAAAAGCTCAGCGCCTGTGAAGATGTGCACACGACTAGAAACAAAAGCCTCTTAGAATGCCCCTTACAACAGCACCATGTACTGACAACATTTAATAATGCACCAGTTGACAGAGGAAGCATTTAAGGAACCCACCTCTACGTTTGCAGAGCAGGCAGTGAAGGGTGAATTTGGAACTCAGGAGCAGTCATTGGACGAATAGCTGGTACCTGACACATTTCCATCTACCAAAGAACAAAAGGAAGAGAGAAAAATGAGATAAAAAACAGGCATGGTGGTTGTCACCTGTAATTGCAGCAGTTTGAAAGGCCAAGGCAGGTGGATCACTTAGGTCCAGGAGTTTGAAACCAGCCTGGGTGACATAGAGAAACCTTGTCTCCACTAAAAATTTTTAAAAATTAGCTGAATATGGTGGCATGTGCTGTAGTCCCAACTTCTCAAGAGACTCCTGGGTTCAAGCAATTCACCTGCCTCAGCCTCCCAAGTGGTGGGGATTATAAGTACACACCACCATGCTCAGCTAACTTTTGTATTTTTAGTAAAGACAGGATTTCACCATGTTGGCCACATCAGTCTCAAACTCCTGACCTCGTGATCTACCCACCTCAGCCTCCCAAAAGCTTCCGCCCTGTCTTTGCCCACTTAATCTAAGAAAACTAAGCTAAAATAAATTTTGTAACCAAACCTAAATGAAGCTAAGTGGTGTGGCTACTATACTCAAAACACTTGAAATTCCCTTCACACAAAAATAACTATCTGGAAGCCAAGAATGGCTATCTGGAAATCAGCATCCTCAGAGTACATTTCAGGGGAAAACTAGAATATGTCAGTGTAAACTATGAAAGTCCAGAGCCTTTGTTTGAGTAAGACTAGGTGCAGCAAAACCATGGGCTCCATGCATGATTGGTATTGTAGAAGAGGCCACAGGGAGTAGAATTAAATATGACACCCTCAGCCGGGCGCAGTGGCTCACATCTGTCATCCCAAAGATTTGTGAGGCCGAGGTGGGCAGATCGTTTGAGGTCAGGAGTTTGAGAGCAGCCTGGCCAATATGGTAAAACCTCGTCTCTACTAAAAATATAAAAATTAGCCAGGCCTGGTGGCAGGTGCCTGTGATCCCAGCTACTTAAGAGGCTGAGGCAGGAGAATCACTTGAATCCAGGAGGCAAAGGTTGCAGTGAGATGAGATCACACCACTACACTCCAGCCTGGGCAACAGGACAAAATTCCATCTGCCAAGTTTCTTCTAAACCCAATTTAAGGCACCATGTACCACAAACCAGATAGCAAGATAATTAAATAAACTGTAGCCTTTTTCATGCCATCCAATTACATCTTGGTCAGTTCACAAACATGTTTCAGCCAATGCTAAAGGAGGTTTTCTCTTTAGGAGTCCTCTCTCCCTTCGCCCTGCTTAACACAAGACTTCACACACAAAGAGAATGGAGACAGCCCCGCTTCAGGACATGCTACACTGAAAGAACCGACTGTCCCAAAAAGAGAGGGCTCCACACCTCTCTGACAACTCCACAATAGACCAGCTACACACAAATGCCTGAAGTAAGGAAGTCCATTAAGAAAATGAACAGTTAGTGAGATCAAGACTTCTGACCCAAAGGGCCTGCAGCTGGTCTGATGATTCATCAAAAAGTCTGAATTTAAATGGAGACATACTGGACTGTGACATGTAATAAAAGAACTGAAGCAGCAAAGTGTCTTGGTTTGGGTTTCCTTTCCACTGTATACAGCTCCAATGAATAGAGAAGTGAGCACACCTGTGGTACTCCTGACACATCTGGGATAGTTCCCATCCACAGTGGTTGGCCTTTGGGATTATGCACACATTGCAGGGTCATTGCCCATCTGTGCTAACCTAGAATGTCCACATAAAAGCTTCTGCTTAGAGACTGCAGAGAAAAATGTCAAACCTGAAAGCCCATGAACTGTCTCAGCCAGGGGGAACACATGAAGGAGACACTACAGAATCTCACATCAGAAGCCCAATTTCAGGTTGACCTCTAAAGCTTTACGATTGTGAGTAATCAGCTTACTTTCGCTAGGCTCTGTTATTCTCACATCAATCAACAGAAAAACAGACTGAATAGTCTCCCAGATCAATTCCAATCTTAACATCCTCTGGCTTTATGATTAAAGAATGACACTAATTAATAAGGTTGAAACTGTGGCTTAACCCCGATAGGAGCCTGCTGGGATTATGATAAGCAAAACTAGTCCACATGGACAGAGCCATTCTGACCACATCCCTCCCTATGCCAGCTATCATACAGATATGCACCACTGGCATGAGAAGTCCCTTCCACACAGGACTGACTGATTCAACAATAGGCTGATTTATTCATTCAAACAACAAATATTTACTGAGCACCTTCTAGGTATTTAGGGTTACAACAGAACAAAACAGACGAAATCCCATCCCTTACTTACATATTAGTGAAGGAGGAGGGGGAGTCAACTTACCTTTTAGCGAAGGAGGAGGGGGAGTCAGACATCAAATAGGAAATATAATGAAGGATATATTTTATGTAGGGCAGTGCTGGGATTCACTCAGGGTGGCTGGAAAAATATTAAGGGAAATATTAGGGAAGTATAGAGCATAGTCTCAAACCTTTGGGAAGCCAAAAAGTTTTAATGAGCCAGGCTGAAGACAGCCAGTTCTTACATTCGAGCTTTAAGTCATAAGGTGAAGATTAAGATAATAAAAGCTTCCCTGGTTCAGTCTGTTTACCCCACATTCCTTTTTCTCGACTCCGTTTACTCATGTAAACTTCATGCTAGCTGCTCCTCTAAGGGGGAGGTTGAAAAAGAATTACGTTTTAATGGTATTTATTCTGGACCTCAGAACCAAAAGTTTTTATCATTCTTAAGACCACTCTTTTAACCATGTTAATTATCCACAAGCATGTTAACTTAAAACCTCTGTTGCTGCTTCTATACTGAATAAATGCAAGAATGAACAAGGAGTCAATTAGCTGCAATCACTCTCTAAACGCTGATGATACCCTAGCCCAACTCTTACACTGTATTCTGTGTGGAAGGGCATATTTTATTCATCTGATACTTACACTAAATAAATCTTAGTGAAACTAAACGTGAAATTGTAAGTACAAAGTGAAACTAAGTGAACTAAATCTTAGTGAAACTAAACGTGAATTGTAAGTACAAAGAAGTCACGAGAGGGAGACAAAAGGCCCAAATTAATCAAATTAATGTCTTCTTAGGGAAGACACCGAATCTGTGTCTGCAGGTTATCATCTTACCTTTTAATAACAAATGTAATTTGATTGCCCACTTGAATGATGTTTTCCAGCCTTGGGATTCCCTATCATGAGGGACTTCTGAAAGGAATGTCTTCCAGTACTTCTTCCACACACAGATCATTCGCATGTCCTTCAAATGTTTGGTCTTAAAAACAATCTTCAAAGATTAAACTTTGTTTTTCAATATCCTTAAACAGAAGACTAAGAAAGAAAATCATTGTAGACAATAAACAACAGAACTGAAGCTGGTGTGCAGTGGCATGATCTCGATTCCTTGCAATCTCTGCCTCTCGGGTTCAAGCAATTCTCCTGCCTCAGTCTCCCAAGTAGCTGAGATTACAGGTGCCTGCCAGCATGCCTGTCTAATTTTTGTACATTTTTAGTAGAGACAGGGCGTAACTATGTTGGCCAGGCTGGTCTCCAACCCCTGACTTCAGCTGATCCACCCACCTTGGCCTCCCAAAGTGCTGGGATTACAGGCATGAGCCAATGTGCCCAGCCATAAACACTATTTGGAAGCAGCTTTTCGCTACTATCTGCTCGTGACTGCAATAACCCTCCTCCATTGGCTGCCTTACGGTAGCGCATTTCAGGCTACACTTTCATCTGCACTGCAGCCATGAGATCAATGTTCTTTACCCCTTCAACCACGTGAGCATGCTATTCAATAAGAATTAACTCTCCACAAAGAATTCATGGAACGGGAATGAAAAATAGTAAGCAGAGGCTGATTGAAATGAAAAGAGGCAGAACAACCAACGTTAACACATGAAGACTGTTTAAAGCCAGATTTAAAACAACATGTTTTCAGATAATGAGGAAATGTGATACTGTTCACATAAGAGTAAGGAAACTCGACTAAGGGCTACATATGAGCTGACACCAAAAAATCACTGCTAAATTTGTCAGACACGATGAGGGAGTGGCTGTGCGGGGATGCACACTGAACAGATAAAATGATGCGATGACTGCGATTTGCTTTATAATATTCCTGCAAAGGGAGGTAAAAGAATAGCAGAACAAAATGTGGACAATCTTAATGGTCACAGAAATTGAGAAACGGGTATTTTAGAGTTTATCGTACTATTTTCTCTACTTTTGAATAGGTATAAAAGCTATAATTTAAAAACGTTAAAAAAAAATGGTCGGGAGCAGTGGCTCACTCCTATAATTCCAGCACTTTGGGAGGCCGAGGCAGGTGGATCACTTGGGTCAGAAGTTAAGAGACCAACCTGGCCAACATGGTGAAACCCTGTCTCTACCAAAAATACACACACAAGAAATTAGCCAAATGTGGTGACAGGTACCTGTAATCCCAGCTACTCGGGAGGCTGAGGCAAGAGAATCACTTGCACCCAGCAGAAAGAGGCTACAGTGACCAAGATCATGCCGCTGGACTCCAGCCTGGGCAACAGAGTGAGAATCTGCTTCAAAAACAAAAACAAAAATAAAGCAAAAATTAATTTACTATTCCCTGCTCTGAAGCCACATCCTAACAGAATTCTAAAAAGAAAGATTCTAGCAATTCACATGGTGCTATTTATATAGAGATCTCCCTTGCACCTTTGTATGTAAATTTAAATATTTTGCAACCTGATGGCTCAGAGGGGTCCAAAGCTGGGCATGGTAACACATGCCTGTAGCCCCAGCCACTTAGGACACTGAGGCAGGAGGATAACATGAGCCCAAATGTTCTAGTCACGCCCAAACATAACAAGACCTGGTTTCTTTATAAAGAAATGGGGAGCTCTGAGGGAGCTCACCGATGAATTATTTTGGTGACATCAACAAGTGCTACCAAAACACTACTATAAAATCCAAAATTACATCTACTACCAGATTTTTCTCCTTACTTCTGGATTCATTTATCCAATTGCCTCCTCTACCTCCACACCTCAACTTGAAAGAGATTAATTTCTTTGATCTTAGATTGGCTTTCCTCTAACATCTAAGATTTGTATTAAATTCTTACTTCATGTCATTAGCACCAAATCTGAGAGGATCTACTATAGGAACTCGGTGAAATAAGAAACACACAGAATGAAAGAGTTATCATATCTGGAAAAAGAAATATGCCCATAAACAAACAACAGTAAAAAATTAGAGGCTTTCAGTCACACTAAAGAATGATGTTAAATAAAATTATTCTGTCGATTCAACAGGAAACTATATAAACCTAATTCTAACAACCTTTCTATAAAATAAAAAAGAACCAATTGTTAGAGCTGAGAGTAAAAAGTGGAAGTTTCAGAAAGACGTGAAGTCGACTGCAGAAGGTGCCCATCGCCTATCATAAAGGCTGCACCAATCACACCCATCCCCCTTATTCCACCTAGTATCACCTGAGGTCAGGAGTTCAAGACCAGCCTGGCCAACATAGAGAAACCCCTTCTCTACTAACACACAAATTAGTCTTGTATGGTGGTGGGCGACTGTGAGGTAGGAGGACTGCCTGAACCCAAGAGCCAGTCAGACAAAATCACACCACAGCACTCCAACCTGGGTGACAGGAGTGAAAACTGTCTCAAGAAGAACAACAACAAATTCCTTTGGGAAGGCTTTCTTCATAGAGATCTTCAACATGAGACTGGAAATAAGGGTATGGAATCATCACGGGACCTTTGGCTTTTACAGCTTGAGGTATAAGGACAAAAAGAAAAAGGGATATCATTTGAACACAATCTGCAGAAAGGAATCATTATTGAATCTGTATTGCTCTTTAACTTTCTTTGCTTGAAACAGAGTTTCACTCTTGTCGCCCAGGCTGGAGTGCAGTGGCACGATCTCGGCTCACTGCAGGCTCCATTTCTCAGGTTCAAATGATTCTCCTGCCTCAGCCTGCTGAGTAGTTGGGATACACGAGCCTGCCACCACCCCACACTAAGTTTTGTATTTTGTGTAGAGACAGAGTTTCACCATTTTGGCCAGGCTAGTCTCGATCCCCTGACCTCAGGTGATCCGCTCATCTCAGCCTCCAAAGTACTGGGATTAGAGGGATGAGCCACTGAGCTGCCTGAGCACTTTCTTATGTTATTAAATAGCCTAACCCAGGTAGGGGCAGTGGCTCATGTGTGTAATCCCAACAACTTTGAAGAACAAGGTAAGAAGATTGCTTCAACCTAGGAGTTCAAGACTGGCCTGGGCAACATTGCTCGACCACCTTTCATCTCTACAAAAATTAGGTCAGGTGTGGACCACATCTAGCTAAATTTTTTCTTTTATAAAGACAGGTTTTCATCATGTTGCCCAGGCTGGTCTCAAACTCCTAAGCCCAAGCCATCCTCCCACCTCGGCCCTCAAAGTGCTGGGATTACAGGGCTCAGGAAGCCTCATGTTTTCGTTAAGAAGTTTCCTACTCTTGCAGACCTGGATAGTTTTCTTTTTGTTCTTTAAGGCAGGGTTTCCTCAGTCTCACGGGTTGGAGTTCTGTGGTGGGATCATAGCTCATTGCAGCCTTGAACCCTGGGGTTCAAGTAGCTGGGAGGCTGAGGTAAAACTACAGATACAGGGTCACACCATGTTTCCCAGACTGCTCTTGAACTCCTGGACTGAAGGGATCCCCCTACCTCAGCCACACCTGGACACAGCTTTCTATTTTTGAGCTACATTAACACTGTACCGGATCAGAGTTGGTCAACTGCCCTTTTCCAGCCAGCAACACACAGGACCTAGCTGAGACACTGCAGTTACCAGGCTTCACTCTGAGGAGAAGGCAACACAGCTCCAGGCCCATACTGTCCCTGTGACTTCCCTGAAAACCCACCCTTGTGACATCACAGAGCCCCCCTCAGATGGACCCAATCAGAACTCTGAAACAAAATGTCAGTTGCATGCCAGTCAGATGTGGGCAGTGCTCATGTTTCAAAAGCTAACACTGGCATGATTTAGTGTTGGACCCAGAAAAATGAAAGATAAAAATATGTAAAATACGCACTGAGTACAATGGCTCACACCTGTAATCCCAACACCTTCAGAGACCAAGGCAGGTAAATCACAAACTCAGGATTTTGAGACCAGCCTGGCCAATAAGGAGGCTGAGGAAAAAGAATTGCTTGAACCCAGGAGGCAGAGACTGCAGGCAGCCGAGATCACACCACTGCACTCCACGCTGGGTGACAAGAGTTAAAAATTTGTCTCAGAAAAAAACAATCCTTTGGGATGTCCTTCTACATAAAGATCTTCAACGTGAGACTGGAATAAAAGTACAAGATCATCCTGCACCTTTGGCTTTTACAGCTTGAGCTGTAACTGAAAACAAATATATATCATTTAAATACAGTTTGTAGAAAAGAATAATTATTCAATCTGTATTGCTCTTTAATTTTTTTTTTTTTGACGAAGTCTTGCGCTGTCGCCAGGTGGGAGTGCAATGGCACAATCTCAGCTCACTGTAACCTCCATCTCCCATGTTCAAACAATTCCCCTGCCTCAGCCTCCTGAGTATTTGGGACTACAGGTGCCTGCCACCATGCCTAGCTAATTTTTGTACATTCAGTAGAGACGGGGTTTCACCATATTGGCTAAAATGATCTTGATCTCCTGTCCTCATGATCCACCCGCCTTGGCCTCCCAAAGTGCTAGAATTACAGGCATGAGCCACCATGCCCTGCATTGCTCTTTAACTTTTATAATTTGTTCTTTACTTCTGTTATTGTAACTGAGTCCAAAAAGTAGTATTAAAAAAATAAAAAGAAACCCCCAAATGCTAACATTCTGATTATCAAAGTCTACAGTAAAATATCCCATTACAGCTGGGTGCGGTGACTCACACCTGTAATCCAGCACTTTGGGAGGCTGAGGTCAGTGAATCATATGAGATCAGCAGTTCGAGACCATCCTTGCCAACATGGGAAAACCCATCTCTACTAAAAATACAAACACTACCTATGTGTGGGGGCAGGTACCTGCAATCCCAGCTACTCGGGAAGCTGAGGCAGGAGAATCACTTGAACCCAGGAGGTAGAGGTTGCAGTGAGCCAAGATCATGCCATTGCACTCCAGCATGACGGACAAGGGGGAAACTCCAGCTCAAAAACAATGAAATAAGATAGAGCAAGATAAAGAATGAAATAATCCCATTATTTAAGCCAATGTACATACAGCCAGACTTTCTATAACAGTCTGAACCAAAGTATAAG